CTGTCTCAGAAAGGAAGGGGGGAGGGGAGGGAGGGAGGGAGAGGGGAGGGAGGGAGGGAGCGGGGAGGAAGGGAGGAAATAAGAGAGAGTGAGAGAACTAGGCATGGTCGTACACACCTTGAATTCCAGCAGGACTACTGGTTGGTAGCAACAAGATAAGGAGCAGAATAATGACATAACAGCTGACTGTTTTCCCTGTCAGACTGTTAATGAATCACAAAAGGAAAAATTATAATTTCATGTGACATAACCCAGAACCACCAGCATGATTAGATGATCAAGATTCAAGCCAGGGAAGCGAGATAGATCAATGGGTAAAGACATTTGATGCCAAATCTAAAGACCTAAGTTCAGTTCCCAGAACCCAGTTGGCAGAATGAGAAAATCAACTCCTTGAGTTGTCCTCTAAGCTCTACAGGTATGCTACACATGTACACACACACACACACACACACACACACACACACACACACACACACACACATAAAACACACACAATAAAAATGTTTAAAAAAAAAGTATTCTACCACTAGAATGCACTTCCAGGAGTGTTGGGGACCATGGAGAACACAGCATATCATGGCCTGAGTCTGTTCCAGAACACTGGGAGGAACCACACTGAGGATGACCCCATGCGATGCACTAAGACTAGCCATGGCGTGAGACACAGGGACAGAGAGAAGCATTCCATACTGAAAATGACAAGAACTTGATCTTAGAGTGTCCTGAAGCAGACAGGAGAGGGACAGACAGGGAAGGTGTGACACCTGAGGAGTCTACAGACTGGAAGGTGACAAGGACCCAGGTGTTGACTTCCTCACTGGGAAGGTGCAATGGTGGATGATGTGGTTCTTGGAGGGACAGGCAGGAGTGTTTAGGGTGATGGACCATGATGTCAGAACAAAACAAAGAACAAGGGGAAGGAAGGACAGACAGAGAGTGCAGTAGAGTTCAACAGCCAGGAGCCTAGGTCATGGGAATGGGACAGTCCTTGTACGGTTCTTGGAGTTATTCACTCAGTTTGAAACTTACTAATTTTTAAAATGGAAAAACCTAACCCTTATACTTTTTTTATAAATGTCTCAGCTGTAGAATTCTTTCTTGAGAGAAGGAGATATCACTTCTTTTATTTAATTCTTCCCCAGATTCAGGACCCAGACTTTAGGAATCATTCCCTCAGCCATAAAATCCAGGGCCAATCCCTGAGGAATTTCTATTTATTCCATCTTCAAAGCACTCCAGAACCAACCATTTCCTAGCTAAGGAACCCCCACAGCTGAACCTCCTGCTGACATCTTTACATCCCCAGGATGAAACTGCACAACCTTCTCCATGATGCATGCTCTGCTCTAAACTCAGAAGCCTTCCCACATCCCCTGCCATGGAAACCTTAGTCCTTCCAGTGGCCCAGGTGGTTCAGGCAATCTACACCCAACCCAACCAACCCCCTCACTTCAACTGTGAATGTGGAGGGCTGAATTGTGTCCTTCCAAAGACTCATTTGTGGAAGACATCACATCTAAGAATTTAGAATGTGGTTATAATTTGAAACAAGAGTCTTTAAAATTGTAACTAAGTTTAAATGAACTTACTAGTGTGTCCTAATGTAAATGGTGTCCATTTAAGAGATCAGGGCATAGACACATGAAGAGAGAGGAGACACCATCCACAACTCAGTGACTGAGGCCTCAGGAGACACAGCCTATGCATACATTAATATGTGGCTTCCAGGATCCAGAACTGTAATGAATTTAACTTCTGTCAAGTCACCCAGTCTGTGGTGTCTTTAGCAGTGCACTAGCTACTTTCCATTCCCTCAGGCCACTGGGTTCTTGTCAGCTAGGCCTATTTAATGTTCCAGACACAGCAAACATGCTTTGCCTCAGAACAAATGCATTTTCCCTCTGTACAGCCCTCTGTTCAGATCTCACGCACTCATCCCCAGCTCACTTGACACTTGCTTGAGGGTTGTGGGGACATTTATTTAAAGCAGTGCTCCACCTTCACCACAGCCATCTTTCCCTATGCTCTTGTCTCGTTGTTCTTGATGTGTGTTCCTTGTTAATTGAAGTTCCCCTCTAATGAACAAGGAAGAAATTCTGTTGCTTACTTCTGAATCTCCTGCACCAAAAATACACACAACTGACCAGGTATTAAGTGAATAAAACTTAATGTTCTTTCAGTACTTACTTTCTCAGGACCGAGATGACATCTATTGCAGTCTTCAAGTCTAAGCCAGTGGTGGGATCATCCAAGAACAGAATGGGATGCTCGGTGACCAGCTCCATTGCTACACTGGTCTTTTTCCTGAGCTCCTTAGATCTAGGCTAGAGCACCAAGGACCATCATTATCAACAATAACACACAGTCATTGTCATTTGGTAAATCTGTCTGTTCTAGCAATAAAAAAATTTTGTTATGTCATTATCCTGAGGAGAAAAAATATGGACACCTGGGAGAAGAAGGACTTTTCTCTTTTCCAAGTGAGTAGAAAGAGGCTCAGGTCAGACTTGACATGAAGCCCATGCTAATGACAGTTACTGTTTGTTCTTTATCAAGTCACATGTTCTAGGGTAATGAGTTATCACCCTCCAAGTCTGGCACAGTGAGATCTCTGTCGAAGGAACAAGGAAGACGGGACAGGAGAAGATGAAGTACCTCTAGTAATTAAGTCATCATTTAACACCCTCCAAGCATACACACAACACAGGCACTCTACACACCATAAACACACATTACACAATACTATACACAGGCACACACAAAGTATCATTTTGATAGTTAAGATTACAGTTTAGAGGTAAGCTGATGCCCTTATTTTTAATGGATGAAAAGTAATTAAGTACTGAGGAGGAAGATACCACCTTTTAAAATGCTGCAGAGAGAAACAGCTTTAGTAGTATGCTGTCATAAAACACTAAGAAGCCCAGGAGACTGGTATTAGCAAGTGTACTACTGTGCTGGCTATGTAACAGTCAAACTTTCACAGCAGCCACATATTGCCTCTACATTTCTTAAATCAAAATCTTATGAAAGCCTGAAGAGAAGTCTAGGAAGGGAAATGCACTTGCCTTGCCACATAAGCCTGAAGCCTGGGTTCCATTCCTTGAACTCACTTATAAAGCTATCTGCAGAGGAATGCATCCTTAATTCCATCAAGATGTAATTAAAGTGAGATGGGAGGTGGATGAGGAGCATCAGGCATTCGTCTAGGGCATCAGCAGAATGATGAGAAAGGACCTTTGACAAAGATGTCCTATGACCATGTGTGTGCTATAGAGTTCAAGCGACCACACACACACATACACACACACACACACACACACACACACACACACACATACACACAAACACAAGAATGCAGGCATACACACACACAACACACACTCTTTTTTAAAGCAATCATAAAAATTATATTAAAGTTCTTGCAATTTATTACATTTAATGACTTCAAGAAATTAATAAATATCTTCATATGTTGTCCCTCAAAAATAAGTAAACAACTTAGAGAAATGACTATTTTTAAAAGAAGAACAAAAGAAAGAACTTTCTTGTAAACATAAAACTATATAAATAAACAGATCCAAAGGAAACAAAATTCCATCACTCAGGAAAAAAAAAGAAAGCATGGTAAATGTGAGCTTTTCTATTATTCTTCCCAACAAGACTGACATCTCATAAATGACTTGTAGGAATCAACAGTCAGTACCTTCCTGTTCCTCAAGTCACCACAGGAGTTAATCCATGAGAATCATATTCTGAGGAGCACATTTCCATCTATACCACCAAATGTCTGCTCAGCAGACATCTATGTATAATCTTCTCAATGAGTTGATGTCACTGTGAGAGACAGGATGGTGTGGAGGACACAAGAAGAGGAAACATCTCTAATGTTGAAATACTCTAGGCATATTATAAATTAAATGCCTGATCAGGTTCTATAAACAATGTAATAATAAAAAAATTGAGGATTGCAAATGATTAAAATGGTTATACACCTGACAAGCATGAGGAGATCAAGATTTTATTCATTTTAATAGGTAAGAAAGGAACTGTATAATTAGCATATATCACTAATTTTTAAAAAATAAGAAGAATAAGTATTTAGGAATGAAGGATTACCTAACATTCTTTTAAAATATGTGAGTAAGAAACTAGTTAGCTATGACATAGTTAGCTGTGAAGTTCACCACTTGTCTATTACCCCTTCTGATCCTACACAAATCCTCACAGGAGTCACCAGGTCCACTCTGTTGCTCTTGATCAAGTTTGTATCATTAAAACCTAACACAGGAGCTGGTAATAAAAATTAACAGAGGATATGTAAGGAGGGAGCAGAGGCAAAAGGTGATCATAGGTTTCCATCTAGTTACTAAGATAAAATGGTCTTATAAAAAGTAAAAAAGATTGCCATTTTTACTGTTAATCCTGCCTATCCATGACCATGCGAGATCTTTCCATTTTCTGACATCTTCTTCAATTTCTTTTTTCAAGGACTTTAAGTTCCTGTCATATAGGTCCTTCACTTGCTTAGTTAGAGTTACCCCAAGGTATTTTATATCATTTGTGGCTATTGCAAAAGGTGATGTATCTCTGATTTCCTTCTCAGCCTGTTTGTCAATTGTATAAAGGAGAGCTACTGATTTTTTTTTAGTTGATCTTGTATCCTGCTTTGTTGCTGAAGGTGTTTATAAGCTGTATCAGTTCCTTGGTTAACTCTTTGGGGTCATTCAAATATACTATCATGTCATCTGCAAATAGGGAAAGCTTGACTTCTTCCTTTCCCATTTGTATCCCCTTAATCACCTTATGTTGTCTTATTGCTCTGGCTAGAACTTCAAGTACTATATTGAATAAGTATGGGGAGAGCCTTGCCTCGTTCCTGATTTTAGTGGAATCGCTTTGAGTTTTTCTCCATTTAACTTGATATTGGTTGTTGACTTGCTGTAATTGTCTTTATTATGTTTAGGTATGTTCCCTGTATTCCTGATCGCTCCAAGACCTTTATCATGAAGGGCTGTTGGATTTTATCAAATGCCTTTTCTGCATCTAATGAGATGATCATGTGGTTTTTTTTAGTGAGAGAATCATGTGGTTTTTTATTTTGAGTTTATTTATATGGAGTATTACATTGAAAGACTTTCATATGTGGAACCACCCTTGCATCCCTGGGATGAAGCCTACTTGATCATGGTGGATAATTGTTTTGATGTGTATGGTGGTATTTTATTTGTACTGAAATGTGATTTTCATTGTATGTTAATAAATAAAGTTGCCCCAGGGTCAGAGCTATTAGAGCCATAGCAAGAGTGTGGTGGTAGTAGTGGCGGCGGCGGCGGCGGCGGCGGCAGCGCACGCCTTTAATCCCAGCACTTGGTAGAAGAGCTAGGTAGATCTCTGTGTGTTCAGGGATACAGCCAGCATTGGAGACATACACCTTTAAGACCTGGAGGACGGTACTTACAGGCAGTGACGAGGCAGTCATGTGTTTGGGTTTACAACCAATGAGAAGGCAGAACAGAAAGACTATTTAAAGACAGAAACACAGGAAGTAGCTCTTTTTCGGGGAAGCTAGGAGCACTGCAGGAGGTAAGATTTTAGCTCTGAGCTCTGACCTCTCAGCTTTCTCTTTTACATTGGTTCTGTGTTTCTTATTTTAATAAGACAGTTGGTTACATCTACAGATGTGTTCTTGGAGTCTGTTTGCCAGTATTTTATTGAGTATTTTTGCATCAATGTTCATGAGGGAGATCGGTCTGTAGTTCTCTTTGTTGCATCTTTGTTTGGTTTAGGAATCAGGGTAATTGTAGCCTCAGAGAAGGAGTCTGGTAATGTTCCTTCTGTTTCTATTGTGTGGAACAATTTACAGAGTATTGGTATTACCTCTTCTTTGAAGATCTGGTAGAATTCTGCACTGAAACCATCTGGTCCTGGGCTTTTTTTGGTTGGGAGACTTTTAATGACTGATTCTATTTCCTTAGGGGTTATTAGACTATTTAAATAGTATATCTGGTCTTGATTTAACTTAGGTATGTGGTACCTATCCAGAAAATTATCCATTTTTTAAGATTTTCCAGTTTTGTGGAGTAAAGGTTTTTGAAGAATGACCTGATGATTCTCTCTCTGGATTTCCTTATTGTCTTTTGTTATGTGCCCATTTTCATTTCTGATTGTGTTAATTTGGATGTTCTCTATCTATCTAGTTTGGATAAGGGCTTGTCTATCTTGTTGATTTTCTCAAAGAACCAACTCTTTGTTTCATTAATTTTTTGTATTGTTCTCTTTGTTTCTATCTTATTGATTTCAGCTCTCAATTTGATAATTTCCTGTTGTCTATTCTTCCTGGAGACTTTGCTTCTTCTTGTTCTAGAGCTTTCAGGTGTGCTGTTAAATCACTAGTGTGAGATTTCTCCATCTTCTTTATGTGGGCATTTAGTGCTATGAATTTCCCTCTTAGCACTGCTTTCATAGTGTCCCATAAGTTTGGGTACGTGGTGTCTTCATTTTTGTTGATCTGTAGGAAGTCTTTAATTTCTTTCTTTATTTCTTCCTTAACCCATTGGTGATTCAATTCAGCATTATTCAGTTTCCATGAGATTGTAGGTTTTCTGTAGTTTTTGTTGTTGTTGAAATCCTGTACAATAAAACAACCTCTGGAGGCATCAACATCCCTGACCTCAAGCTCTATTATAGAGCTACAGTAATAAAAACAGCTTGGTACTGGCATAAAAACTGACCTGTGGACCAATAGAATAGAATTGAAGACCCTGATATTAACCTGCACACCTATGAACATATAATGTTTGACAAAGAAGCCAAAACTGTACAATGGAAAACAAGAAAGCATCTTCAACAAATGGTGCTGGCACAACTGGATATCAACATGTAGAAGGCTGCAAATAGATCCATTTCTGTCACCGTGCACAAAACTTAAGTCCAAGTGGATCAAAGACCTCAACATAAATCCAGTTACTCTGAACCTGATAGAAGAGAAAGTAGGAAGTAGTCTTGAATGCTTTGGCATAGGAGATCACTTCTTAATTATAACACCAGTAGCATAGACACTGAGAGAAACAATCAATCAATGGGAACTCTTGAAACTGAGAAGCTTTTGTAGAGCAAAGGATGTGGTCAACAAGCAAAGCGACAGCCTACAGAATGGGAAAAGGTCTTCACCAACCCCATATCTGACAGAGGACTGATATCCAGAATACATAAAGAACTCAAGAAATTAGACATCAAAATGCCCAACAGTCCAATTAAGAAATGGGCCATTGAACTAAACAGAGAATTCTCAAAAGAGGAAGCTCAAATGGCTGAAAGACATCTAAGGAATTGCTCAACATTCCTAATCATCAGGGAAATGCAAATCAAAACGACTCTGACCTTACAGCTGTCAGAATAGCTAAGATAAAAAACGCTGAAGACAGCTTATGCTGGAGAGGATGTGGAGCAAGGGGAACTCTCCTCCACTGTTGGTGGGAATGCAACCTTGTACAACCACTTTGGAAATCAGTATGGCGTTTTCTTAGAAAATTGGGAATCAATCTCCCCCAAGATCGAGCTATACCACTCTTGGGCATATACCCAAGGAATGCTCAATCATATAACAAGGGCACTTGCTCAGCTATATTTATATCAGCATTTTTTGTAATAGCCAGAAACTGGAAACAACCTAGATGCCCTTCAACTGAAGAATGGATGAATAAAATGTGGTACATATATACAATGGAATACTACTCAGCAAAGAAAAACAATGACAGCATGAGGTTTGAAGGCAAACAGATGGATCTAGAAAAAAATCATCCTGAGTGAGGTAACCCAGACTCAGAAAGACAAATATGGTATGTACTCACTCATAGGAGGATACTTGATGTAAAACAAAGATGAATAGACAGCTACTCACAATTCCAGGGAGGCTACCTAGAAAACAGGACCCCAAGAAAGACACAGGGATTGCCCAATGACAGAGAAATGGATGAGATCTACATGAACTACCTGGACATGAGTGGGGATAATGAAGGGCAAGGGTCGAGGAAAAGAGAGCTTAGGAGAGCGGGAGATCCCAGCTGGATCAAGAACAGAGAGGGAGAACAAGAAATAAGAGACCATGATAAATGAAGACCACATGAGAAAAGGAAGAAGCAAAGTGCTAGAGAAGTCCACAGAAATCCACAAAGATACCTCCACAATAGATACTGGCAATGGTCGAGAGAAAGCCTGAACTGACCTACTCTGGTGATGGGATGGCCAAACACCCTAATTATTGTGCTAGAAACCTCATCCAATGACTGAGGGAACTGAATGCAGACATCCATGGCCAGGCCCCAGGTTGAGCTCCAGGAGTCCAGTTGGCGAGAAAGAGGAGGGTTTGTATGAGCAAGAAGTGTTGAGACCAAGATTGGAAAAAGCAAAGAACAATGGAAACACATGAACTATGAACCAATGGCTGAGGAACCCCCAACTGGATCAGGCCATCTGGATAAGTGAGACAGTTGATTAGCTTGATCTGTTTGGGAGGCATCCAGGCAGTGGGACCGGGACCTGCCCTCAGTGCATGAGCTGGCTCTGTTTGGAACCTGGGGCTTATACAGGAACACTTGGCTCAGCCTGGGAGGAGGGGACTGGACCTGCCTGGACTGAGTCTACCAGGTTGAACTGAATCCCAGGGGAGTCTTTGCCCTAGAGGAGATTGGAATGGGGAATGGGATAGGGAAAGTGGGGGGAGGGGGAGAACAAGGGAATTCGTGGCTGATATGTAAAATTAAATTAAATTATAAAATTAAAAAAAATTAAATTAAAAAAAGGAGTGATAGGTTTTATTTCGGGACACAGTTCAAAAGTAGTCAACCACTGCAGGGAGGTCCAGGCAGGAAGCTGATGCAGCTGGTTACATCCAGTCAAGAGCACAGAGGGGATGAATGCGTGCAAGCCTGTCAGTGTTCAACTCACTTTCCCCATTCTCATGACACCCAGGACCCAAACCCAAAGAATGGTGCTGCTTGAGTGGGCTGGGTCTTTCCACATCACTTAACTCAATCAGGACAGTCACCTACAGAAATGACCACAAGCCAACTGACTACAGTTCCTCATTGAGACTCTCTTCTAGATGATTCCAGGTGGCTCCAGACTGTGTCAAGGTGACAGTTAACACTAGCCACCACAGACAAGATGGGATAAAAACACAAAAAGGCTACAGAAAATAACAAGCACTGAACAAGTCAGAAGTAAATGCTAAAGAGACCAGGTACAACCCTGGAGGAAATAAATGCAGAGTGAAACACAGAGCCAGAGTCCTCAATCCCACGTCATGTGTCAGTCCAGAAAACATTCTGAAACAGCAAAGGGACAAGTCCTCGGGGAAGAGACAATAAACAGAAGAAAGCCCTTGTCAGATTCTCCATGAGTCAAGAGTTTGAGGCTGAGGAAGAGGAGGCTGATGTGAGGAAACTTGGAAATGGCCATGTGAGGAACAATTTTCCCTCCTGGATCACACTCCATTCCCAGGTTTAACCATTGCTAAGAAGGCTTCCCAGCTCAATCTCCACTTTACATCATGTAACCAGTCACTTACTCATTAATACAGAGAGCAGCCACCTGGACCACACACATTAGAGGAAACTGATGACTGAGGGTCATATTATTAACAAGGGAATTTTTTGGCTCTGAATCTTTCAAGATTTTTCTTCACATTACCTTGACATTTGCCACTTCATCCAGATGCAGAAGTTCAAGGACCTCATCAATTCTCCTTCTTCTTTCATCTCTCTTTACAGTCATTGGGAGTCGAAGAGCTGCTGAGAACTCTATATTTTCTCTCACAGTCACTGTGTGCATCACCACATCTTTCTTAAGGTTAAATAGTATTTCAAATAAATATAGTTATCACTAAGACAAACATTTTAACAAATAAAACCTAATCCTCATATAAACCACACACAATGGAATGCTCCACTGAAAGATAAGCTTCCAGTGTTACTAATCTCAATCCAGAGCCTGAAACAATCATTTCACGGCCCCCTCCCATTTGCCTTCCAAGAGATTTAGGTGACTGCTACCTGCAATTATTTGTGGAAAACAATTTCTAAGTAGTGGAGAAAAATGAGGGAAACGAAAAATCAGAGAACAGTAATCCTTTGTAGAATTAAATCACAGCTGCAGTTACTAATGCTGTAACACAGCTGTCAGACTCCAATCCCTCCCCATCACCCTATTTAATAATGCCAGGCTCAGGCTAATGAGTTACTAGGAAAATCTGGTGTAGAGAAAGTTGAGACTATAAATGTGTCATATAATTAAGTGGAAACAGACAAATCTATAAGCCGAGTGTCTAACCATACAGAGGCAGGGGAAATATAAAATTACAAACCCACCAACACTTACTTGTGGTACATAACCAGAAGTACATTTGAAATTAGCAGGTTGAGGTTTCCCATTTATCAAAATATCTCCTGATAATCCACGTGGATCTTTCCTTGCAGCTAAGACATCTAGTAACCTACAAAGGGTTATATATGTTGTGTAGTTTACTTTCTCCCTTCAGTAAAAGCTATCACCTTTTAACTACTTAAAAAATAAAAATTCTGCATATCATAAGTTTAACTGAAATCACACACACACCACACACACACACACACACACACACACACACACACACACACACACACTACTTTCTGTTCATTATGTGCTCTAACACAGCCCAGAATTATGAATGCAAGACGTGATCCACATGACTGTCCCTCCCTGCAATCTGACCTTGGGGACTCAAACTGGTAATGAGCTGTTGGATTTTGAGAATTGGGCCAAGTGATGATTTCTTGTTCCCAGAAAACTTTGCTCCATATTTCTAATTTTAATACTATCTCCCTGAGATAATAATATGACCCAACACCATATACAATCACTCTTTCATTTCCTATCAGTAAAGTGGACCTAGTAAGACTTCCTGTTCTTGGTAGAAAATCGAATATACCATCCTGCACATTATACACAGTGCGTGGGACCAGACTCACACATATATACTCACACAATACTTACAGACTCACACATATACACTCACAGATATACTCACACAATACTTACAGACTCACACAATACATAAATAACCCCTGTGGAAGTGATTTTACAGCACAGAAACTGGACACAAAGGGCACGCATGTGCTTTCCGTTATACTCACCAAGATCTCCCATCTTCAGGTCCCATGATGGCATTGAGGCCAGGTCTCATGATCCCACTGTAAACACAAAATCATACTGGTTGATTTTCTATTTAAAGAAAGTTATATTAGCTTAGTGTCTACACTGAATATTCTATTGAAAGTGGATAGAATTGTACACACAAGTACAAACTCAAAGGAAAAATTTTAAATATTAATAAAAGTCTATTATTTACGAAAGATGTTGGATGCTAGTCGAGACTCATGAAGAAAATGCCTCAGATATCACAAAATACATTTTGTTTATTATTTAAAGGACTTCTCTTTTTTGAAACATGGTGCATCTAAGTTCAGTGTTCCTTGAAGCAAGCAGCAGGTTCTCATGAAGTCTCTGTTACATATATGGACTTTATGTGTCAAGTACACAACAGCTTCTTGTTTATGTTTGATAATCAGTGTCTTCATACAGCCCTGCTTGCTGCCTCGTAAAGCTCATCACAGCAAACCATTTATTCATGGGATATCAGTGGCAGTGTCACTACTATTAAAATAATGTCAACTAAAATCAGTGCATTGTAAATAGAAATTCAAAGACTAAAAGGAAGCTCTCCAGAGGACAAGAGAGCATTGCCAAATTTAACATTCAAAACAAATTACCATCTTAATCAAAATGGAAAAGCTAAATACACACCCACAAAATGATGATTTCCTTCCCTGATAAAGAGATTATCATATGCTCAGTTTAGAAGTAGAGGACATTCTTCATTGATGTATAGGTACAGCACAAACACAAGGTATGTCAGAAAACTGATTGATTCACAGTAGTGAATATTCAGGTTGAAAGGGGCATATTCTTACAGAAAACTCAGGTATGTTCCCATTTCTTATTTCAATCCAGACAATGTGTCAAACCTTTGCCCTGCCCATTCCCTTCTTAGTAAGAAAATGATGGAAGTTCTGGTGGAGGAGCAGAAATAACCAGTGCCCAAGAACAGAGGCCATGGTTGGGGTTGGGAGGAAGAGACTATACAAACTGAGCGGGGAATCTTGGTGTGTGTGCTCTGTCCTCAGAATTTGGTCAGAAGCAAGCCTTCTCTCTGTTGTGGAACAATGTGTAGAACAATGTTGGTTTTAGCTCTTTTTATCTCTTAATGAGTTTTGAGCAAATACATGAGGACCCAGACCTTCTGCTGTTGGGACTCCCTCATTGCTTTCATCTCATCACTTGTAACTGACCCAGACAGCCTGTAAGAAACCCTCAGTTCAGTTTGCAAGAGGATGTGGGTATAGACGTGTACACAAATCTTATAATTTTCAAATTCATATAATTTGAATTTGCAATATTCACTCATATCCCTTCATTTTAACAGTATGCTTTTTATATTACTTTTTCATTCTTAATTTTATTGAATTAAACCATTTCTCAGGAATTTTGTTTTGCATGGTTTTGGTAGTATGTCTAACATTTTGTCCAGCTTGTTTGTGTTTTCAAAGAACCAACTTTTTATGTCATTAATCCATTAAGTATTTCTTTTGGTCTCCATCTAATTATTTCACTGTGATCATGAACCTATCCTTATGTATGACAAGGGGAAGCTGGGAGATGGTTCATTGGGTGAGTCACTTGCTGTGTGAGGGGGAGGGCCTAAGTTAAACATCCACAATTCACATGACATTGGGTGCAGTAGTGGGCACCTGGAACTCCATGCTCTATGGAGAGATGGGAGACAGAGACAGGAGAATCCCAGGACTCTTACAGGCTGCTAGCCTGGCACACCCAGCAGTGAACAGTGAGAGACTCTGTCTGCAACATGGTAGAAGGTGAAGACCAGTGCTCAAGGTTGTCCTGTGATGGCCTTGTGCCACGGGTGTGTCAGAGCATGCACACATCTGCACATGTGAACACATACACACACATAAACTTATACAAACATGTAAACATATGTATACACATGCACTTATACATACACATTCATACACAATCACACACACATATACTTATATACACATATAAACAGATATATACATATATAGTTACACACATAAACAGATATATATTCATACACACATATAAACACACAAACACGCTAACACATACATACATGTATATGTACACAGACATGCACACACAGATTATTGATAATAGAGAAAGTCTGTGTTGAAAAAATTTTAAAATATACTAATCTCTTTAGTTCATACACATGCCTGACATTAGATAGTCTTTCTTTCTCCTCTGTTTTTTTACAAAATGGAAAGCCACTCTGCACTGTCTCTCGATAGCTGATGTTATGAAAACTCAACACAGCCTCTCCAGTCAACGTGTCTGGGTCACTGGAGTCCATTCCAGGAAGGTCACTGGGATTTCTTTCTATCATCGGGATTGCAACGGGGTCATTATTGGGAGACATCTCCAGAGGTTCTTCCTTCCTGTAGAAGGAACAGCAATAGTGAGTTGATGGTACACACACACATCATTATTACTCAGCACAGCACACTTTAGGATTGTTTTAGTCTGCACAGTCATAGGCAGATTCCTTCCTGATGAACATATCACTGTGATTACCTAAGTACCCAATGAGAGGCAACAGAACTGAGTACAGAGATTCCCCTTAGACACCAAATTCCTAAGAAACAAATGAGCTCTAATGAATAGAGTATAAATGTTATTCCCAATTCATAAAGGAAGAGGGGGACAGATGAGGGGGTATATTTGTCTTACCTCAAAATCGTATTATGATATTATATAAGTTCAGAGGTAGAATACATGACCACCACTACCACATCTCCTTTGTGTGGGTGTGTGCACATGCACAGGTATGCAGATGTGTGAATTTGTGGGACACAAAATCACATAGCAGATACACATGCAGAGAGAGCTGTTCTGGAACAGGGTGGCCAAAATACTCAGTTGGTTCAAGGCACAGTGTCAGTTAAAGTACAGAGAAGGTTCAAGGGGCAAGATTGCTCCAAAGCACAGAGCTGACTCCAGGCACAAGAGGTCTGAACAAATGGTGAGCAGAAGTCCTGGGGTCAGACTTGAAAGTCTGTTGCCTTGTGTCTAGTGATGCACACATCAGGTGGCCTGATGATGGCTCAGGGGCTATAAGTGAGTACATGACAGCGCTCATTGCTCTGGTGTTCTGGACATGCACACAAGCTTGGTTTCTTAGGCAAGGTCTTCAAACATCATGGGTCTAGGTGTTCCTGGCTTAATATGTTTATAGGAAGAAATAATCTATTTGTATTAATTAGTTATTTATTAATCTATGTTTACTATCTGTGCTGGACACTTGCACACATAAGGTACAGAGTCATTTTGTCTCAGCATTTGCTTTCAAAATGAAGCAAACCACGGTTTTATAAAATGGAGTCACTCAGGGCAAGGCACTCTCTGAAAACTACTGTCCTATACAATACAAAGGAACACAGATGGGCACAGACCAAGCTCTGCACACTCAGTCTCTCTCAGTGCTAGAACCAGGAGCTTCTGTTCACTGAGTTTGAGCTGTGGTGGGGATCCAAAACCATCAAGCACATGCCATGGTGCCCTGGGATGCGCTGGGTGGTGGGCAGCCATGAGGCACAGCCGTGCAGGTGGGAATGACTGACAGACACACTCCAGGCTCAGGCTGTGGAGGCCTGAGGACAGGCAGCCCTGCCTCCTGTACTGGGAATGACATGGCTCCTGTGGATGACTGCTGAGCCTGAGAGTTCTGAGCAGGTGGCTGGAAGATTCTTTGGATTGTGAAGCTGCCTCATGCTGCAATTTGTGTGCAGCAGACAGGGGCTGAGAACTCGGAACCCCAGTGAAAGGATGACTCAACTTCCACAGCTTCCTCCTTGTTGCATGGTGGTTTGCTGCTGGATAGGATCTGAAAATGCTTAGGCACACAGCTCAGCTCCCGGGACTTCTCTCCATCGTGGAACTCCATGCTGTTCATTCCCCCTTCCCCCAAAGCCCCTGAAGGCTTTGTTTAGACAAACCCACAAACGGAAGTGTCTACCTGGACTACAGGTCAGATGACCACTGGGACTTGCAGTGGCAAAGAACATACAAAGACAATCGGTCTTAGAGTGAATGATGCTCTGTCCTTAAGGCACCTGTGTCCTGTGTCCAGCTCCAGCCGGGAAGGCGGCAGCAGAGAGGGACGGTACACACCAAGTATGACCCCAGTGCCCCAGACCTGGCAAATTCTATGAGAGCATCAAGAGAGAGGCTCATTCAGGTCTCTGTCTTCCAGATACTACAATGTTATGTGTAATTTTCATATAGTACATTACTTTTAAGATTTAAAAAAGGTTTTAATCTTTAAAAAATCCTTGTCTTGTGTTTACTTGTTGTTGTTGACTATGCCGGAAGGTCCCCTTGGTTCAGATTTGCCACAAATAGTTGATCCTCCTGCCTCAACTTTCCAAGTGTCAGGATGGTAGGCCTGCAATTTATCTATTTTATTTACACTTTTTATACTTTGCAAATATATTGTTTTTAATCTCTTGCTCTTTTATCAACTCCTCCTTTTCTTTTTCTAACTTTTCTTTCTACACATCCTTTATTCAACTATTTTGTTATTGTTGTTTTCACCTTTTTTAGTTTCTAAATTCATGTTTTTTATAAATTAGTTTTACCCACTACTTTCATTGTGCCCATTACGATAACTGTGGAAAGCTGGCTCTGGTCCTGTTCCTGGGTTTCATTTTCTCCATTCTGACCTTGCTGAGAATTAAGCTCTTGGCAGATGAATGCTGACTCTGCACCTCCTCACATCAATGTGTAAAACATATTCACTCCACAGGTGCACCAACCACAACAACAAAACACAAGGATGTGAGGAAACTAGGTTATACCACGTCCTCAAAAGATCATAAGTTGTCAGCAACTGAATCTAAACATTCTTAACTAGGTGGAGTGCTAAAGAAATCATTCAGGAGGTTTACTTAAAAAGGATTGCAACTTCAAAAAGATAGACAACTGAAGGAAATAAGAAATACAATATGGGAAATGAATGATAAATAAGAGAGAATTTTTTGAAGGAAATCTTGGAAATGTTTACAGATAAATTTTTTTAAATTCAGGAGAAAGAATCAACAACAGACAAAATTAACTGAAAAATAAAAATACCAGGACATCAAAGACAAGGTTAATGAGTTACCACATCCAGAGTTATTACAAGCTTATGATGACCTCCAGAACATGACAGACAGACCAAACAGGAATGCTTTTATTAGAATAAAATGCTGAAAGAGACTAAAAACTTAGAAAACGTATTCAATGAAGCAATATCCTAAAATACACTGTATCTACTGAAAGATTAGGATGTCCAGGTACAGAGGTAATTTAGACCACCACATAGACTGACCAGAAAACATTCTTGTCATACTACACACTTGGTAAAATTTAGAGAGTGCAGAACAAGAAAAGAATGCTGGAAACTACTAAGAGAAGAGCCAAGTTACTAACAACGTACCTGATTGGCAAACCACTCAGAACAACAGCACATTCCTTGACAGAAATGCTAAAGGCCAGAGCGTAGACCTATGTATTTTGAATAGTTAAAGAAATTAGCTGACAATCAATGTGACTACAGCAAATCTGTCCTTTATAAAGACCTTCAGGATGAACATAACTAGAGCAATGCTGACCACTGAGGCTGCCGTGAGGAAGACATTCACAGGAAAATAAAAACACAAAGAAGACATAAAGCTATAATCACAAGAGCTCTGGAGAAAATAACTCCTGTAGTTCTAAGGAATCAATAGTATTGACTCAGTAAATATGCTGGTTAGCCTTTTGTCAACTTGACACATGCTAGAGTCATCTGGGAAGAAGAATGCTCAGCTGAGGAATTGCCTCCATGGGATTGCCAAGTGTGTGGGGCATTTTCTTGATTAAAGATTGATATGGGAGGGTCTAGAACACTTTCAGGTCCTGGGATGTTTAAGAAAGCAGTCTGAGCAAGACACGAGGAGCAACTAGTGAGCCATGTTCCTCCAGCGTCTCTGATTCAGTTCCTGCCTGAGTTTCTGCCTTGGCTTCTTTAAGAGATAAACTGTGATGTGGAAGTGTAAGCCAAATAAACTTTTTCCACCCCAAGTAGCTTTTGATCATGATGTTTTATCACATCAGTAGAAAGCAAACTGCCAGTGAGTCCACAAGCATCTATGATGAGAGAAAAAGAAAAGAACACAAAGCAATTGAAGCCAAAACAGAAAGTTGAGAGATGAACAGAAGTCCACAATATTATAGAATTTTATCCAGTACAAACATTTTAACACTAACCTAAATATAAATGGTCTTGATTCTGGAGTAAAAGATGCACCTGGCAGGCTGAATTGAAAAGCAGAAAACAATAACCAACTGTTTATTGAAGCAGGAAACTCAACCAGCTGGCAACGTATATGGAGACTGAAAGTGCAAGGATGGAAAACGGCATTTAAGCAAACAGACTCCAAAAGCTATGCTCCTACCTGACAAAGCAGAAATCCAGCCAAGGTCAGGAAAAATATAGATAACTGCATATTAGTAATTGGAGCAATCCACCACAAACAACTATAAATATATATGTAATGCAAAATATACAGTATATTTTCAGTATATTTTGTTCAGTATAGCAAACTCCATAAATCAAAACATACTAAACAAACACAGCTGGATAAAATAATGGTGGGTGACTTTGGCTTTTTATTTGTAGTTTAATATTCTTTTATAGTATACATTTAATGAGAGAAGTCATATCTGTGGATGAATATTTGCTGTTCTGTGCCGTAAGCATTGATGCTTTCTCTTCAGTGTGTATAGAGTACTCAGTGGTCTATGATCCAGAGAGCTTGGTCTAGACTTGGATTAGCCATCATAGAGGAAGTGTGTGTGAGTGTGTGTTACTTTCCACTCTTACTCAGTTATGGTAAGAGTAGTTGTCTCTAGTGTAGTTATTTCAGTGATGGGTACTACAGTGTTGGAGTTTATTTCTTTTTAAATTTATTTTATTATTTTATGTGTATAAGTGTTGGCCTCCATATATGTCTGCATATCACATGAATCTCTGGTGCTTATGGAGACCAAAATAAGGATATCAGGTCCCCCAGAGCGAGAGTTACAACAACTGTGAGCTGCCATGTAGGTGCTGAGAATTGAACCTTGGTCCTCTGGAAATGCAGCCAGTGTGCTTGTAGCTGAAGTTTTCCTGTGTCTACCCTGCTCCTGCAGCCACTCAGACCCAAGAAAACACACAGAGACTTATATTACTTATAAACTGTATGGCCATGGCAGGCTTCTTAATATCTAGTTCTTATATCTTAAATTAACCC